TAGAATATGAGTGTGGGTGGCTCTCCTGGGTCTCCTATTTTAAGACGTGTGATGTGATCTTGAATTCCTCAAGTGAATTCCTCATTTGTAACAGGCAAACAAAAGGCAGCTTTATGTGCAAACTAGATTGTCAACAACCACCCGGGACTAAACAGCTCTTGCTTTGTCTCTGTTCTTTTCTTCAGTTGTTTCCCCGACGCCAGCTTCTGGGGATACCTACCCCTCGGTGTCCCGAAAGCCCCACCCATCCCTGCCAGATGTCCTGCCTCCTATTCACGAGGTGTCCCGGAACACACTTCGGGAATGGTGCCGCTCTCACCGTTTGAGTACGGACGGCAAGGTTAGCGTCCTCCCAATGGGATTCTTTGCTATGTGGACTCTTAAGTTTGTGGAGTTTGGTCAGGCTTTAACTATTTTCTCTTGATTTCCTTAGAAAGTGGAAGTCTACAAGAGACTCCAACAATGTTCATATTCTGAACAAATATGCGTGAGTAACGGGTATGGTGACGGAGTGGAGGTGGGCTCCCCCCCATGGCCTCGCTATAATTGCTCTATGTAACCTTCCTTTAAGGCAGGGTTACTGACATTTGAGGGACCAAATGTGTGGTATGGACTCAACCTCCTTTTTTTCTTTTTTCTTTGATTATGTAAGGTTTTTTTTTTCCCCCCTGAGGTCTCACTGTATGATGGGCAGCCTGGAACGCAGTCCCACCTGCCTCTGCCTCCCGAGTGCTGAATTAAGGATGTGTGCCACTTCTAGAAGAAGGTCTCCAAGTGTCATGGGTTGCCCCCTATGTAGCTAAAGAGATCATTGAGTTCTGAATTCTCCTGCTTGTAACCTCCCAAGTGCCAGGATTGCAGGCACTAACAGTGGGGATTACAGGCCTTGCACCATTAGGTTCCGTGATTTATTGGTTTGAATGTAGTCATGAAGGATTGTTTAGGTTGTACCCAAACGCTATGCCCACTACACAGCAACTTCCCATTTTCCTATAGCTTTTGTATTTGAAACTGGGCACTACAGTTAGGCATGACACAACTAGGACCCCAGAGCTGGGGAGTGGGGCCAGGAGGGTCTATATATTGGCCACATACTAAGTTCTTGGCCAATAGGACAGTGTTGCTCAAAACCAAAGGAACTAGAGGGGCAACAGCAATTCTGACCCGTGGGTGATAAGTTCAAGGTCAGCCTGGGACAGCGGATTTAGACTGAACAAAAAAAAATCACCACCTGGGTGTGGTGGTGACACCTTTAATCCCAGCACGGGGGTAGAGGCTGGCATATCTTTGAGGTTTCAAGGTCAGCCTTATCTAGAGCTAGTTCCGGGACTATTACTCAAATCCTGTTCTGAATAAATGAGCTAACAAAAAACCAAACCACCTTCAACAAATCCCACAACCCACTGCCTGGGCCTTGCTATCTTACAGGGTGTGTCGAGCCTGGATCAGGTCTCCTTGTTTTTACCAAGTGCCAGTACATTTTGTGTCCTTTCTGTGTTCCTCCTCTTGAGGCTGGCAGTGTCTCTCCCTGGACCTGGTGCTCAAGTTTTCTCAGCTATTCTGCACCGGCAGTCCTGTCAAATCCCCTGGGAGCTGTGGTTGTAGGCGTTTTTTGTGGGAACGATTGTTTATTACAGTCGGTCCTTCCTCCAGGCCAGCATCTTCCACACTGAGTCATTCTCCTGCTGGATCTCTGCTTTTAACTGCCAAAATTTTCTCCCTGTTGAACCAACACTATAGAGAGTAGTGTTTTTAAAATTGTGCTTGCTCAAGCCAGTGGAAAATTCCTGTGAAATCGGCATAACAAGTTCTTCTTGCAAGAGCACTGTTGAATTTTATTTTCAGCATATTCCCAAAACATCTCGTGAGGCCAGACTGAAGCCCATTTCGAAAAAAACCAACAAAGCAGTCATTGAAGGACCCAGACCTCGAGGTTTGAAGAGGAAGAGAGAGGAGGACGAGTCCGGCGAAGAAGTTCTGACTTCAGAAAGGGAGTCCGGCATAGTAGAAGTTCTGACTTCAGAAAGGGAATCCGTTTTTGCAGCCTGGGGAAGAATTACCATGCGAGCTTCTCAGCCTAGGGCTGAGAATCGCCAGCCTCTTCCCTCTAAAGCCAAAGCATTTCTGCCCCCAGTCACCGGTAAGACCAACAGTAAGGTGTGAGCGCTATGTGGTGTGCTTGGTTAACATTGGCGTGAGACAGGACGACTGTAAAGTCTGAAGACTGTCAGGTGGGATGGAAGGTGAAGTCTGGGTCAGTAGTTCAAAGTCATCCTTTACTTGCAGAGCTCAAGACCAGCCTGGTAATCAAAGACTACATCTTAAAAATGAAGTAAAATTAGATCAGTGATTCTCAACCTTCCTAACCCTATGACCCTGAATACATTTCCTCATGTTGTGACCCCAACCACAAGTTAATTTTTTTGTGTGTGTGTTGGGGGAGGTTTTGAGACAGGGTTTCTTTGTGGCTTCAGAGACTCCATAAGATTATTTTCTTTTTCTTCTTTTTTTTTTTTTTTTTTTTTGGTTTTTCGAGACAGGGTTTTCTCTGTGGCTTTGGAGCCTGTCCTGGAACTAGCTCTGTAGACCAGGCTGGTCTCGAACTCACAGAGATCCGCCTGCCTCTGCCTCCCGAGTGCTGGGATTAAAGGCCTGCGCCACCATCGCCCGGCTTTATAAGATTATTTTCATCGTTACTTCATAACTGCAAAGCTCCTACTTTCATCAAATTTTTAGAGGTTTGCCAAAGGGGTCGTGACCACAGGTTGAGAAACACTACTGTAGATTACAAATTTGACTCACATAGAACTTTATCTTTGCCTCTTGATGAATAGCAAGATCTTATTTGGACTAGTGACACAGTCTCATTGCTAAATATGGGAATTCCAATGTTGAAGGAATAATAATCTAATAATGTGTCTGTCAGCCTGGATAAAGTACACTTTTCTTTCCTACTTAAGGCATTCATAGGGATTGGAAATGCCTTAAGTAGAGTGCCCGATGTGTTTGGAGCCCTGAATTAAATCCCTATCACCACATAATGCCTGACTTCACATGGACCTATAGCAGCAGTAATCCCAGCACTGGAGGTGGAGGCAGGCTGACCTTGAACTTGAGGGCAGTCTTTATTTAGTGAGTTCCAGGCGAATGGAAACTACCTGGGGAAACTTAAAGCAAGCTGTGTGATTAATAGTGATAAAATTAATTAATATTGTAGATATATACATGTATGCATGCATACATACATACATACTACTGTATAGCTAGCAAAGATTTTTAATCCTGTTTTATAGGCTGTCTGTTCAGTCTTTCTTTTTTTGTTTTTTTCGAGACAGGGTTTCTCTGTGGCTTTGGTTCCTGTCCTGGAACTAGCTCTGTAGACCTGGCTGGTCTCGAACTCACAGAGATCCGCCTGCCTCTGCCTCCTGAGTGCTGGGATTAAAGGCATGCGCCACCACCGCCCCCTAGTCTTTCTTTTGTTATACAGAAATGTTGCAATTTTATGATATCCTATTTATCAATCGTTATTAACAATTTATAAAGTCTTATTCAGAAAGTTCTACCTTATGTTAAAGTCTTTCGTTTTCCTAACAGAGTCGGGTCTTCCATCCATTTTAGAAGTTTTTTGCAGAGTGAGGTGGATCTGCTTGCCCTCTGATTTTTAGGAACCATTCAGCAAACAGTCATTTTTTTTTCCGATGCATATTTGTGGCATTGTAGTTTATCTTAATCAGATGCTTCTGCATTATTTGTTGTTTCTGACTACTAAGGATTGCATTGGGTCTCCAGGTTCCTTTGTGCTCCAATAGAATTTTTAGAATTTTTTCCTGTTTCTGTGAAGAACAACATTGGAAATTTGGGAAGTATATTAAATCTCTAGTTTGCTTTTGGTAAAACTTTTCTTTGGGGGTTGGGTTGGTTTTTTTGAGACAGGGTTTCTCTGTAGCTTTGTATTCTGTGCTGGAACTCACTCTGTAGACCAGGCTGGCCTCAAACTCAAAGAGAGCCATCTGCCTCTGCTTCCCAAGTCCTGGGATTAAAAGTGTGCACCTACCACTGGCCAGGTTTGTAGGTAATTTTTACAATTTTTCCAATCTTAAAGCCGTGGTGTGTGTGTGTGGGGGGGGTCTCATCTTTTAGGATCTTCAATTTCTTTCAGACTCTTTAGCATAGTCTTCCACTTTCTCGGTTACATTTATTCCAAAGTGTGTTTTATGTGTGTATGCATTGAGACTTTTTTTTCCAGACAGGGTTTCTTTAGTTTTGGAGCGTGCCCTGGACCTAGCTCTTGTAGACCAGGCTGGCTTCGAACTCACAGATATCCGAGTGCTGGGATTATAAGCGTTTGCCACCACCACCCGGCCCAGTCATGGCTTCTTAAATCATATCAGATACCCATGTTAAAACTGGGCAGTGGTGTTAGTCATTGGGGAAAAAGGCATTTAGTAACAAACACTCTCTACCTTCCTTGTAGGAAAAGCAAGGGTTTGAGTAGCTTGGTTCAGTGGTAGAAGTCTTTCTTAACATGCATGAGGTCCTGGATTTCATCACTAGTATGGGAAAGAAAGGAAAGTGGAATGCAAGTTTTAATAATGTAGTATGCATCATTTAGAAAAATCTTGAGCCAAAAGCAAGCATTCTGCAAAGTAACTAAGATTCCTTTGAAACACAATTTGTCATTCTGTCATCTGTACTGTTTTCCATGCATCTCACTCAATTTGTTTTTTTTTTTGTTTTTTTGTTTTTTGTGTTTAAATAGCATGCTATGTAAGAGTTTTGACAGTTTATAAGCTATCAGAAATACGTTTGATTTTTAGCAGACCATAGAGAACAAATTCAGGAGTAACTTCAGGGAAGAGGGCACGGAGCGTTGTCTTGATCTTGTTTTTTTTCTCCTTCCCAGGATACAGGTGGTGTGTCGTCCACGGCAGGCAGCTCCCTGCTGATAAGGAAGGCTGGGTTTGCCTGCAGCTGCACACCGGTCAGACCTGGGTTCCAGACAGTTCCCAAAGGATGATACCTCTCTTCATTTTACCAGCCTGTGTGTTCCCATCCCCTGGAGTGGAAGATAATTTGCTCTGCCCTGAATGTGCCCACAGGTAATCCCCAAGCACCTCTCTCGGTATGGGAAACAGAAAAAGCAAGATGGTTAGATGAACTTCTGAATAATCGAATAGAAAGCCTGAGATCAAACATCCTGCTTTTTCTTAATTTGCTATATAGATCAGATGAAAATAGGGATAGTGGATGTTAGCTGCTTTTAAGGGGTTAGGAAGGTAGCTTGGTTGAACACAGTGTGTGCTTAGCATAAATAAGGCGTGGGTTCAATCCCCAGCACAGCATAAAACCAGAGGTAGGGGCATAGAGCCCTGAGTGGGCTGTATGAGTTCCAGCATTAAAAATAAAATGAACACAGCCTGGTCTACAAGAGCTAGTTCCAGGACAGGCTCCAAAACCACAGAGAAACCCTGTCTCGAAAAACAAAAAAACAAACAAAAAAAAAAAAAAAAAAAAATAAAATGAACATTAGTTCCTACTACACGCCTATTTCTTGGAACTACAAAAATTAGTGAGAAAATCCAAGCTGAAATAGAAATGAGTCAAGAAGGTGTGTTTGGGGTAGCTCAGGAAAACTCACGGGTAGAGCAAGGCAATATGATATATTGTCCTGATTGGCTTCAAAGACCCAAAGAAAGTAATACATTGGCCTTATAAATACTGCTTTTGATTTTAGTTCCATTTATTTCTTTTGGGCTCGAGTTACTGATTATGGTTGGGGGCAGAGGCATGCCGTGACACAAGTGATCAAAATCAGGTCCTCAGGTTCCCGGGCAGGTGGCTTTACTTGCAGAGATATCTGACAGTTCTGCCTTAGTCGCTAGAATTCAACATCTACTCATGAGTACAAAACCTCTGTGAACCCTTAGAGCTGGTAAACAGAGCAGCCTTCACTCACCCCAGGATTCAGGAAAACCATCTCAGGGGCTTCCTAAGTGAAATGGATTCCTTATTCATTTGGTTTTTTATTTTGAGACAAGGTTGCAGACTGACGTCAAATTCAGTGGCAATTTATCCGCCTGCCTCCCTCATGCTGGGATTAAAGGCGTGTGCCACCACCTCCATCTTTTCTCTTTGTTAAGGGAAAAGTCTTGGATTCTCCCCCTGACAACCTTCTTTACAACCCTCTAACTTTTCTCTTGCAGCAATAGGAAGATGATGAGGAATTTCAAAAGGGACAGACACACTGAAAAGAAACAAACAGCTACGTAAAAATATGCCAACTTAGACTGATGCCAAGGTTTTGTGCAGTGAACTGACGAGACTTATAACTGCATATCCTACCATCTCTGCATTGGACTTGTGTAATCCTATTTTAGTCATGGGGTCCAGAGAACAACTGGGGAGGAAAGATTAAAATTCCTGTCTTCAAGCAACCCAGTCTCAATTTTCAGAAAGTGCCTAACTGAACTTTAGAGAACAGGAAAACAGTTCCTTAGAGAAGGTCCAGAAACCAAGGAGTGTTTAAAATGATCAATAGGTGGACTCGTTCTAAGAAACAGGGTAATTTAAAGCCTGCTAGTATGTTCTGAACTACACCGCTGGCCATCTGTACGGACTTAATACTGGGTTCTAATCTGAATTAAAGGTGTGCAGATATTTTCTTATTCCCTGAACAATCCAGCTTGTTGTCTGCTTAGACAGCATTACATTGTACTAAGCACTACACATAATAGTGAGATTATGGTACATGCATATAATCCTAGCACATGAGAGACGCAGGTAGATCTCTGATTTTCAGGTCAGCCAGAGTTTCATGAAGTCCTGTCTCAGAAACAAAGAAGGCATGGGGGACGAATGCTGAAGAATGGTTGGTGTATACAAATACTTTGAGCATCTTGAGTATCAGTGCAAGGGTGTGGGCAGTTCTAGAGGCAATCCCCTCGCACTCCAGGTACATTACACAAAACTAAGACAGCATTTTGTTTCACTCCTTTCCACTATCTTTGTTATTTGTGTGTCTGTATATAATATGCTTGTCTATGTGTATGTGTGGGTACCATGGAGCCTAGAGAATGTTGGAGTCCCTGAATTTGGAGAGGTGAGGTGCTTAATGTGGGCTAGGCAGCCAAACATGGGTCCTCTGGAAGAGCAGCAAGTGTTCTTACAATTAGAATTGCTGAGCTGTCCCTCCATACCCCCCTCCCTCCCAGACAGGCAAGCATAGGGAATAGTTTAGCAACCTGGGACACCACTTAGTTTGGGTTACACAGAAACACACACACACTTCTCGTTTAATTCCTGTGACAGCCTACACATACCCCTTTCTGAACAGTGTACCCAGCAATGTCTTAGTGATCTGAGATGCTTGCTCATTGTGTGTGAAGGTAAAAGGGACAACCTACGGTAGTCAGGGTCCTCCTTCCTTCTGAGCTGGAGATCGAATGTAGAGTGTCAGTTTTTGGCAGAAAGTGCTTTGTTCCACAGGACCGTCACAGGCCACATTTCTTTATCAGCGTAGCATCTCATTGTGTATGCGTACCTCATTTCCCGTATTTGTTGGACCTGGGCTGTTTCCATTGCCTAGCTGTTGTGATTTGCAGCAAACAGGGATGCACAAGTGTCTTCTGGCATAAACTTCACAAGTGGGATACCCGAGTCCTGGTAGTTCTGTGTTTTAGTCTGAGGATCCTCTGTACTGCTTTCCATAGGGGCACAGCTTTACATCTGCATCAGGCATAAAAAGCTTTTTTTCCCTCCATCTTTAGCATTTGTTGTCATTTTTCTGGCTGGTAGTCATTCCAGCTGTGAGCTGGAATCTCAGTTGAGTCTAATTTCCATTTCCCCAGTGGTTAAATATGGTGACCTCTACTTGAGACAAGATTGTCAGGCCTCTCCGTGTAATTTAACTTTGCATTAGAATTCACTTGTCTTTTCAATCGTATATTTCATCAAGACAGCGATTATACTGGTGTGTTTCATGGTGTCCAACAAGGTTGTTAATATCTATAATTCATCTCCCATAGAGAATTCTACAAAAGAAGTCTATGGGTGCAATTATCCCTTTACTGATAATTTTGATAATGTATAAAGAGTTTCCTTACCCTAAGCCACACGGCCCTTGGTTCAGCTATTTCCTGACTCAACTACTATTTTCAAGTGATTATTCACTGGGTGATTCTATTTCCAGCTGAGCATGGTGGCTAATGCCTGCAATTTTAGCACTTGGGAGGCGAGGCCGAAGGATTACTGTGAGTTTGAAGCTAGAATGGGCTACAGTGACCACCTCATTCCCCGCGCCCACCCCTAAGTGATAAGCCTCCCTACCGCAAATGATAATTCTATTTCATGAATGGTCTCTATTGGGTAAATAGTTCCTTTGTCTTTTAAATATACTTTATTGTAGGGATAACATGAAGCTTAAAAAAGAGTTAGAAAGCCTATAAGACATTCCTGAAGCCGGGCGGTGGTGGCGCACGCCTTTAATCCCCGCACTCGGGAGGCAGAGGCAGGCTGATCTCTGTGTTCGAGATCAGCCTGGTCTACAAGAGCTAGTTCCAGGACAGGCTCCAAAGCCAGAGAAACCCTGTCTCGAAAAACCAAAAAAAAAGGCATTTTTGAAACCATAGATGAAGATGTCTCTGAGAGTCTCACAAATTGCTTCTGATCCTCCTGCCTCCCCTTGAATGCTGAGTATGAGGACTATAGGTGTGAGCCATCGCCCTAGTGATGCCTATGGTGACAGAGATCCCTTCCATGGCTTTGTGCATAGTAGCCAAGCCTGCTAATGGCTAAACTGCATCCTCAGTACGCACAGCTCCATCTTTCTCCTTGAAATCTCAGTCTGGCTTTTTATGACCTTTTAAGTAGAACACCATTTACATACTGTCTTTGAAGCACATGGATTCCTATGCTTATTTTGTTTTATCGCTCCAAAAATTGCCTCAGGTTTGACATGGGGAGCATGCTTTTAATCCCTGTACTCAGGAGATGGAGGTCAGAATGTCAAGGCTGACTATACTGGAAATTCCGGGCCTGTCTAGACACCCTGGAGATCCTCTCTCAAGAAAGGAAGAGTTCCTAAAGCTGGTCTGGTGCACACTTGCAGTTCCACCATTTGGGAAACAGGTGGAATAACAATGAGCTAAAGCCCACACTGAGCTGTATATTGAGACCCTCTCTCAAAAATGCAAACGAAAAAACAAGTTGATCCAAGGGAAGTCTGTATTCGAGTCTTAAAATCCCAGGCCTCTGCAGTTGGCAAAGATGCTTCCAAGAATGCTAGTCACGAATTCATGACATCAATCCTACTTTTTAATCTTTTCCTTTTATTGAAAGTAGACTTTTTTTTTGTTTGTTTTGTTTTGTTTTCTTTTGTTTTTCGAGACAGGGTTTCTCTGTAGCTTTGGAGCCTGTCCTGGAACTAGCTCTTGTAGACCAGGCTGGCCTCGAACTCACAGAGATCCGCCTGCCTCTGCATCCCGAGTGCTGGGATTAAAGGCGTGCGCCACCACCACCCGGCTGAAGGTAGACTTTTTTTTAAAATCACATAATATATCTGGATTATAGTTACTCCTTTCTTTACCTCTCAAGTTCCCCTCCCCCCTCTTGACATAGGATCTCATTCTGAAACCCTGGCTGACCTGGAAATGACCATGAGACAGGATGGTCTCAGACTTCTGAGATCCTTCAAGTATGCTACAAGGCTCATACTTAACCATTTATTTATTTTTAAATATCAGTGGTATATCTTCTAAGAAATGTTATGTTTGAGGAAATATGACCAGGACTACCTTTCATAAAACATTTCCTATTTATATCAAGTGAGTAATCCAGTCTCAGAAAGATAAACCAAACAACAAAAAGCTCTACTTTTCCTTACAAGTAGATTTTTTTTTTTTTTAGTTTTGTCTATGTAAATGTGCCTGTGGGAGTTTGCGAATACCCAAGGGTTCAGGTGCAGGTTCAGGTGCCTGTGGAGGCCTAAAGAATGTTCTGGAAATCCCGGAGCTGGAGTTAGAGGCTATTGTGAGCCATCCTGAGGACACTGAAAGAAACCTGGGGCTGCTGCGAAAGCTTAAGTGCTTCACTTGAATGTGAA